AATTTTCATTTAATTCTGTTAACTTTGATTGACAACTCAGTCTTAATACTTTGAAAAGCTATATAAGATACAAAAGAATTCGGTCTCTTCTAAACCACGAAATATTCTTTTCTTCAAATATTTGCATATGAAACAGGGAACAGAAGATCTTTGGAACATGTATTATGTCCATCTTTTTAATCATTTTTCAGAACATAGTCTAACAATTGAAAATTGCCTCTTCACACTTGGAAGACAGAGTTAATGCCTAACACCATAACGATTTGTCTCATCACGGTGTGATATTTGTGGAGAGCTAAAATAGCGCAACAATACAAACCCTTCTGGCTTAATGGGATTTCACATGTAAAGGTTGGAACTTTATTCTGGACCCACACAAATTAGCATCGCGCTCCACCACTGCCTGGCTCCTGGGGCAAAACCGAAGCAGTTCTCAGGAAGATAAACAGTTGCGAACACAAAGCCATAATGGAAAGAGAAAACAGGAAACTCCATTTTGTTTTCCTAAGTCACAGAAGCCCAGAGTTCCCTGATGCAAGTTCATAAATGCGCAACTAGATAAAGATGGGTTCACGGACGCCCGAGGGATTTAGGATTAGGCTCATCTGTTAATGAAAATGTTTTAAGGTCTGTGTCACGAGGATACAGATGATACCATGGTGTCTGTTTGCTTACAAAGTATAAAGAAAACTGTATCAAACAGTCAAGTGGGAACTCAATGCACATGTATGTGAGTTGGTCATGGATTGCCCACTGTAGAGATAAACCAGAGAAAAAGGACTCAAAGCCATCCTTTGAAAGGTTTGATCTTTGCTGATGGCATATGAGTGAAAATACATGTAAATGTGACTTCGAAAGATCCAGCTATATCTTACTAATTAGTTGTGCATATACACTAGCTAAGGGCTACTGAAGCTATTGGCATGGAGAACTAGAAAACTCATAAGAGAAAACTCTTTAGGAGTAGGGGCTTACAGAAGATTTTTAGGGATGATGCCAAAAGCCTCATCCACGAAAGAAAACTTATATAAATTGGATATAAAAACGCTAGAAATTTGCTTTGTGAGTACTCTGTTTAGAGGATGAAAGGACAGAGGCGGGAGGTAGCTCAGCTGGGAAGTCGCTTGCCACACAAGCATGGAAACAGGAAATCCCAGCGCTGCAGAGGTGGAAAAAGCTGAATCCTGGCAGTTTGCTGGTCAGGGAGTCGAGCCAAGTCTGTGAGTTCCAGTTAGGCTATAGTCCTTGTCTCAAAAGCTAACATTGAGGCTGAGTGGCAAAGAGACCCAGTATTGTCCTGTTGCCTACACACATGAAAGATAGCTGGTGTTCTCTCTCTCTCTCTCTCTCTCTCTCTCTCTCTCTCTCTCTCTCTCTGTCTCTCTCTCTCTCTCTCTCTCTCTCTCTCTCTCTCTGTCTCTCTCTCTCTCTAACACGCGCACGCACGCACGCACGCACGCACCAAACAAGAGAAGATGAAAGAACAAACTAAGCTACAGGATGGGAAAGAATATCTCCAAGTCACGCTTGACGATCAGTTTGTCTGTAGATACATGGGCAACATCACTACCTGCAGGGAAGTTCAAACTCAGATGCTACTATTCTGTGACTGTAAAACTGTCAGAGAAAATGAAGTCAATTAGTAACAACACCAAAGGCTAGTGACGATGTCGAAGAAATGGAGCTGTGATGTATTTAGTGATGGAAGTATAAAACGAGGTTGCCATTTGAAAGCACTCAGGTAGTTTCAAACCCCAGTTATATATTTATCACACAGCCCAGCAGTCGTTCTCACAGACATTTAATGTGTGTGTATGTGGAGGCCAGAGTTCCCCGTGAGGTGTCTTCCATTATTGCTGTTCCCCTTACGTTTTGAGAAATGGTCTGTAACTGAGCATTGAACTTACCAGTTCAGTGAGACCAGCTAGCCAGCTCTAAAGGTAAATATTCCTGACGCTGGGATTATGGGTGCCAACAGGCATACCCTGCTTTTTATATGTATGAGAGAGTTAGGAACATGAGTCATGGTGTTGGTGCTACAATCGCTTTATTAATAACTGAGTTATCTCTGCAACTGGCAAGTTCCTGTTTCTATCAATAAAAGTCCCATTTTGTTTTTCTGCCCAAGTTAGCTACTAAGTAGTCTCAGGGTTCTAGTGCTGTGACAAACATGACTAACCACATCTTGGAGAGGAAAGTGTTTATTTTATCTTATAGTTGTAGTCTTTGAAGGAAAATCCGGAAGGAAACTCAGCTCAAGAACCTGGAGGCAGAAACGGAGACAGAAACTGGCGAAGAATGCTATTACTGGCGTGTTCCTCATGGCTTGCTCTATCTGTTTTCTTATGCAACCCAGGGACACCTGCTTAGGGGTGACATCATCCACAATAGAGTGAGCCTTCCCATATCAATCGTTAATCAAGAAAATGCCCTAGAGAGTTGCCTATGTGCAGCCTCAGACAGAGGCCTTTTCTCAGCTAAGATTCTTTTGTCTAGGTATGTCTAGATTTGTATCAAGTGGACAAAGTCCAACTGGGACTTGAGTAAATGGGTCTCTACCCCATCCTTTGGAACATAGTCAGTTTCATCTCTTTATGTTATTTACTGTGGTAGCTGTCACACCTCTTAATCATCACAAAAGACATGAAGCATCTTCTAGTTCTTGCGTACCATCTAAATAGAGAGACCTTCAAGATGACACGACATTTAAGGGCATTTGTATAATAAGCGTGAAAACTTAAATTCTATCCCCAGATCTCACAGAGAAGGAGAGAATAAAGCACAGCAGTAAATATCTGGAGTTTCATGTGTGGCTTTGAGCTTCTTGGTTTCAAAGGAAAATATGTTCTCACACAAAATATACATGATTTCTTTGAGGTAATGAGCTAAGAATGATTCATTACAGAATATTTCATAGAGAACATGAATTTGTAGTGTCCTTAAAGAGAAGATGCAGTGTAGTGGGAAAAAATATTTCCATTACAGCTTGTCAACCAGTGGTGTCTAAAAGATGTGGCTGTCCAGTGAGGATTCTGCCATGACACACTATCCATAAGCAGCATGTACTCATGTGGCTGTATGGGTGAGCCTGTCTCAGGTGTGTTAGAAGGAGAAGGAACCAAAGAATCCTGTTCTTCTGTTTTAGATAACAGGAATGATATAAATTATTTATTCATCCATTTATACTTAAAATGTTCCTGCCGTGTTGAATTTTGTCTGAACAGAACCCTGAAGCCCACCTAGGCAGGGATAGAAAAATGAATGTTGAAAACACACTCAAGGGGCCAGCCTTTGACCTAACTGTAGGATGGAAACCAGGCTGAAAATAACGCAAAATGACAAAACAGGAGAACGAAGTGAAGGGCTTAATTCTGCTGGGACTGGTGTTTGGTATCTGGGAGCATGCCCGTGTAGCAGTGTGTGAGCTGACTGGAGAATGGGGCAATGAGGTTACAGAGGTCACTGCGTGAGGGGCACCTTCCTGGACAGAGTGATGCCACAGACTTTTCCAGGGCCTGGACGTTGCTACAGTTTGCCTCTAATAGGTTTGATTTGATCATGGAGAACAGAATAGGTGGGACTTGGTTTACAGGAGCATGCCTAGCTTATACTCTATTGATATTTCTACATTTCCGTATCCTGCCTGTCTTAGTCTAGAGAAGACTCCTAGGATGCTTGCCAAGGTGACACTGATGTTTGTTGAACCTCATCTACTCTTGCACTAATTTCAGACCTCAAAAAAATAATGAAGAGGGAATTCAACAGGAGTGCGCAGAGGAGCTGGGGCTCTGGACAGAACTCTCTTCTTTATCCCTTCCTGTTTTGCCTTCTCATTTTCTTGTATTTCTGCCACCACACGAACATCTCACTCTTCTTTCTGCATGAGCTAGAGGACAAGCTGGGGGCGGGAGGATAAGTTTTATAGCTCCAAAAGCCCCATGAGGTAAGAGCAAAGGATCAGACATCATTCAGATTCTTCTGACCTACTATCTGACTTTTCTACCTCATATTCTTTGACTAACTCAGTGCAGATGCACATTTTGAGTTTAACTGCAATAACTTGTGAACGTGCCCCACGGAGATCTTGGAAGAGAGATGAGAGTGATCATAACCACCGCTGGCTCTAGAGATTTGGGATGTGAACGTGCTCCATAGAGCAGAAGGTGTCTGGGCTGTGCCCAGACTTGTACTCCAGGCCCTATTCTGGTTTCATAAGGCACCTGAGCTGCCCTGAAATGCTGGACTCTCTCACTTTGCTACTGGCATGACAAGGCGATGTCACTATCCCACTATGACATGCTGCCCCACCCAGCCAGAGAAACCAGCTCAGTTACAGGTGGAGACTCAGTCAGCAAGGCAACCCCTTGAGTGACAGTCCTGGCAGCTAGCTGGAAAGAGAATCTGTTTGAAACAGAAGAACTCTCCGTTGAAAAGAGAAAGTTGTGTTCAAAAAGGTAGTAGCACAGCTTGGGATTTCTTGTGGGTGGAGAGATTTCTGGAAGAAAAAGGAAAATGGAGCAGAAATGATTAAAGGAAAGGAGGCGGAAACTTCAAAATGTATTTAAAATGAAGAGCTTCAAAGCAAAGGTGGAATGTGAAGGGGGAAGGGCATTTAGTAATAGGCTAATAGAAATCAGGCAACTGATTTCTCCATTCTTTGCTTTGTTTGGGGTTCTTGTTTATTCTGTTTTGTTTCCTGAGGGTTTGAGTTAGAATTTTTTTTTTTTTGTATTTGGCAATAGGCATACACGAGTCTATCACTGTCCCTGAAATTTTTACCTACCAGGCAAGAAAGGGAAAGGATCAGAATAGAAGAAGAAATTTAGAAGATTTCTACATCCAACATGATTGGTTCTGAGATCCCAAAACCAGGCTATGATCTAGTTTGCTGAAATTTAGTTTGTATGAAATGTTGAACCTGAGTGAGAGCATACAGAAGGTTACAGCTTGACTCTGTCTTGCCCAAAGAGTGTCCTATGTTTGCCAGCTCCTTTCTGGGTAATGACATGCTGAATAGTAGGACCTTCATTTTTTTGTGACAGATGTCTGTATTCACATCTAGGAACTCAACGATGGAAGACATTGTACAGAACCCGTTGGATGATGGGTAAGTAATACAATAGTGAGCCAGAAGGACAACTGCTCTAGAAGCTTCCTGCGTTCCAAACCACAGTTGTGAAGGACGTTCCTCCTCAAGCCTGAGAGAGTCTGAGTAGAAATTTCAGTTCCATTTTTCCTTCATCAATGGAACATGGTGGGACTTTCTGCAAAAGCTACCCAGTCTCCCAGAACACTAGCCTGGTGTAGGGGAAAGATCTAGTCCCCTCCCTTATTTCCTCCCACCTGAGGGCTCTGACAGACTAAACAGAAAGTATTCAAGTTTGTGACAAAAGACTTAAGAAATTTCTTTCATTTTCTAATCTGTAAATGCCTTGTAGGTGTTGCTACGATTCCATATTCTTTGTGTAAAAATTTTGGAAGGGAACAAGTTAGAGTACAACCATTTATATAAATGTGTGTGTGTGTGTGTGTGTGAGATTTTTCCTTTTGCTCACAAAATATTTGCATTCTAGTATCACTTTTAATATTTAAAATTAAAATGTGTCATGACATACATACACACTTAGAAACTGGTTTATTATGAATTAACTAGGCACATAAACAGCAGGAGACTGAAGAGTGAGATGTCAGAGCTGTTGATTTGAGTTCAGTTCTGAAACCACTTTTCCTATAGGCTTGGGATAACAGAAATATCGACTTTAGAAGCCACAAAACAGCATCTCAACTACCTGAATTTGAACCTTGAAAAGGATCTGCAGAGGCTGGACGAGGCCAATCAGATTCTTCTCAGACAGATTCAAAAGAAAGAGAAATCTATTCAAAGGTCAGGCTTTGCCCTTGGTGAAGGTGAAGTCCCTCGAGTCATGTCCACAGATTAGAGGGAAGTGGAGGGGGGGTGCTGTGGGGAGTTCACTTCCCTCATGGAAAACTCAGTGTGTTATTTAAATCCTGGAACACGAACTGTGATGCCCTCAGAAGGCTTTGGCACAGATCTTTGCATTCAATTTTTTCATTTAGTTGACATTTCATTGCAACTGTCAACCTGAGATGTTGGTGGTGTGGTTTTGGCAGCAGCTTCCTAAGGACTGAGCCACACCTGAGTTAACTGTTTTTCAGTCTTGAAAGAGAAATTGCCTTGTCCACTGAGAGAGTCCCAGAGACGGAAGAGTTCACTGAGATTGCAATACAGAAGGAGAACGCCCTGAAGGACCTGGAGCTGGAGACAGCAAAGCTGGTGAGAAGATTTCTCAGAGACCCTTCGATGGCTTCTGCGCTCCTCCTTCTTTTCTCTTCCCAAGAGGCTCCTCGTGGGCTCTGCCTCTGTGGCTACAGAAGTCACAGCTGCTTGGGCGAGTGCTGTGGCAGAGGCGCTAGGCATGGGGACAAGACCTTGGCTCTCTCCCAGATGCCCCACATTGGACCAGGGTGTACTTTTTCATTTAACTTGACCATTGATCCCTACATATGATTTATGTTGCCTTGGTAAAAGAAAATGTTGAGAGCAGAATCCGTTTGTTTCCTTTATTTCCTTATTCCTACAGGAGGAAAAGAATAAGACCCTAAGGGAAAAAATCATGCAACTTCAGGATAGGGTAAGGAGATACCCCAGGGGCGTAAGGTACCCCATTTCCTACAACATTGTCATTACAAAAAAAGGTGATGGAATGGGCAGGAGATATAAGAGGTGAGTTCTGGGAGGATAGTCAGATATATACTATATATATATATATACATATATATATATGTATATATCTTTAATAATTATATGTAACCATATAAAATATAAGTGATATACTGCACACAAATGAAGAAATTTTTCAGACACTCGGAGTCCATCCTTAAAATATGACTGATTTCTAAAGAATCCTAATAGAGTTGTTATTGTACTAAACTCTCTAGTCAGAAAAACAAGGAGAAGGCAGTAAAATTTCTGTACTCACACCCCGATCACCTTCAGAGACTTCAAACAGACACCAATACACCAGCCTTTGTCCTCTGCTCAGGGCAGGCCATGGGGAGAAGAACGAACGGCAAAGCGAGTGATGACCTGCCACTCCTCCCCCACTCCTGCTGTGTCCGTTCCCCTCTCCTCGCTGAGGAGCTATGGCGGTCTTGGGCACAGAAAAGGATGTCCACTCAGGGCTCAGTAGTTAAAAACACATACACTGGCAGACAGCCTGAGTTCTGTTCCCAGTGCCCAGGTCAAGTGGTTCACAACCACTTCTACGCCAAGCTCCAAGAGATTTGACATCCTGTTGTGGGTGCCAAAGACAGTTGCACTCGTGTGCACATGCCTACACACACACACACACACACACACACACACACACGCACGCATGCACAACAACAAATAAATATGAATTTAAAAGAATAAAAGTCTGTCCACTTAGCATGGAGTTAGGCAACTTCCACAGGGTTAAAGGAGACATGTTTCCGTCTAAGATGCTTCAGTACCCAAGGTGGTACCCACCCCGGTCTGCTAGCGAAGACCCCAGTCTAACTTTATCCGAGCTCATCTGTTTGCCTTGATCAGTTCTGTTATTGGAATGATGTTTCAGATTTCAACAGAACTTAAGAATCCTAGCCATGATCCAGAAACCCTGAAAAAGAAAATAGCAGAATTGAAGGTGAGTAGGAATAGCACACTGGGGGAGATTGTGGCACACATATCAGCCCTGGGTTCTGGGAGACTCCTTCCATAGTCTCTCCTAGGTGTAACCTAGGCATGTCCATTTGTGCCTTAGAGAAGAGCTGGCATCCTTTATTACCAGGGTGCATCTTTACATTCCTGTGCATGCTAGAAGCAGAGGGGCCTACCTTGCCTTCAGGTGGAGGGAATGGCTCAAGCATCTCATCAGTTAATGAAACACCTTCCAAAAATGCACCGGAGTCTTCCCTGAAGAAGTTTATAACTAAATGAGGACAACACAAATACAGACATTCAAATAGGAAAAAAATGCTAGTTTTCACAGTTATATAAGGATGTATCAATGATCTTATAAGGTTCGCCAAGCTATGGCTCATTGAGTACATCTTATTTTCAAATTTAATTCTGTATTTTCCTCTACTAGAAAGTATAGGCACTGAGAATATTAATTTGTAAAACTATATCATTTGCACCCCAATGTCTAGAACATTTTAGCACATAGCAGATGTCTAAGGGTGTTTGTTAAGTGGACAAGTGGAATGAACTCAAATTGGGGGCAAAGCTTACTTACTCTGCCGGTTTAGGGGGCAGGTGTGCCATTTGGCTGAGCCCTCTGTCAAAAGCCCCACATGTCTGCTTTCCTCTGAAAAAGTGGGCTCTCTCCTAAGACCCTCCTGTGATTAGACAGCGTGCACGCACCATCCTAAAAGAATGGGAGACAAGGGCTGATGGGCTGTGGTCAGTAGGAGGAAGGAGAGTGGCCGGGCTCACTGGAGAGTCTGCCCACCAAGGCTTAAATGTCAGATCTGCCATTCTGAGACGTGGTTGTGCATACAGCTTATCTTTGCCTTTTTCTTCTCATCTACAAAACGGGTGATGGCCACATCCTCGCTTAGCTGTCATTTGTCCTCACTACGCCGTAGCCACTCTGAGTTTGCTTTCTGCTACCTTGCGTTGTCCCTGCACAAAGCAATGCTGTTCACTTTCTGCTGCTACAACCATCCTCCCTAGGTGAAACTACGGAAGTCAAGCAAGTCCTGTGCACAACAAGAGAAGGAAATAGCCAAGGTTTGATTAGATCGGTGCCTTTTCCACTGTCTACCTAGGGCATAAACACGGGGGAAAGCCCGAGGGTCTTAGAAAGCTTTCCTGGTATGGGAAGGGTGAGGCAGGAAAACCCGGCAAGTGAATTTCTGACTCACAAGACAGGTAGAAAAAACGTTTCCATTAAATACTGGCCTTAACATTTTTAAAACATTCATCTGCCCCAGCTACCTTGTAGTATCTCAAATCTAAAAGTCATACTGCATTCCCTCCTGTTTCCCAGAGAGGCATAGGGAAAGAAAGGGGAAGTTTTCCCCTTTCCACACTCAAAACTGGGCCTTATGCCTGAATGGTGAGGTCACCTTTTGCAAGGTGGTTGTTTCCCTTCAAGTAAGGAGTTGCTAAGTAACGGACCACATGTCCAATGTACCAGGCAGGTTCCCAGGGAAACTGCCAGAGCTTGGTACTGACTCAACTCATGGGGTACGTGTGCTTTCTTCTTTTTCTAGATGCAAAGTGACTACCAGTCTGTACATCAGCTTTGTGAAGACCAGGCTCACTACATAAAGGTACAATGTTCCGGGGGAAGTCAGAATGGAGGCAGATCTCCCAGAGTCAGGAGAAAGCATTTAGTGATAGTGTTAGTGTTAGTGTTAGTATGCTCCATCTGCATGGGAAAATGCCTTTTATTCAACAGAATGGTCATCAAATATGAGTGCTCTTAGACAATGTGCCAAACCCATTTGTCTAGTAAGTATAAGGGGTTCTGGGGAGGACACCGAGGCTTCAGGGAGCCAGGTTACAGGCTCTGGAAACTTCGTTAGTCCAGGTCAGATCTGGGTGTACAAGCAAGGCCTACAAGAGGAACTTTTGCTCTAGAAGCCCCTCCTGTCACTAGCACCTCTGATTTTTTATTTTTATGCCCCTTACTTTATGCACCTTGACGTGAAAAGGTATTTGGAACGTTAGGAATTCATTTTAGTGCGAGATTCCGGTCGGTGACTTTGAAATAAAAACACAAATTCTCTTTGTGATGCCCCTCCCGCCCCGGGAAGAAATACCAGGAAATTCTGAGGGAGATGGAGAAGGAACAAGAAGTGATGCTGCTTGAAAAAGAAATGTAAGTGTGGGGAAAGACGCCCCCTGGTGGCCTGCAGTGCCTGCCCCAGGCAGTTCCCTGCAGGGCAGAGCTTTAGAACAACTGGTGTCACTGCGGATAGTTTTTGCTGTTGTAAGTGTTCTGCTCACTTGGTTTTATGGTTGATAACTGCTACATTGCAGAGCTGCATAGGCTTTGATAAACTGAATTGTATCCATTAGTGCTGCTGATTGTTTTTGAGTCTTGATTACACACGGATCGCTAGGAGCCAGCTCCCACATTACCAGGGAAGCCCATTCGGTTGCCTTGCCCTCTGCACAACATCAGCCAGTTGATGTCGTGTTGTCTGCTTGGACCACAAGGAGAGCCTTGGCGAAGAGGAGCTCCTCTCTGTGCTTCTCTTGACTTGAGGGCTTGCTTCTCTTTGACCCCTGACTGCCGTCTCCAATGGAGTCAGTGGTGTATTTTTCCCAGTTTTATAGTTACTTTTGGAAGTGGACTGGTCTGACACAAACTACTTCATCACGGAAGAGCCACGAGCCAGTGCCAATTCTCCTTTTACACCCTGATCGATTACTATAAGAAGAAATACCCATGAAAGTGCTGGATAAGCTTACTGGATTAATTCTGTAGCAGGAAACAACTCTAAGTAAAACAAATAAACTAACCATGACCAGAAGGCTTTGAGGAGAGGAGAACAGCAGGCAGATGTTAGAGAAGAGTTGGTGGTTGAAGAGGAGAATGACAGAAGTTGTTTTTCCCAATGTGATGCCTTGTGGCCTGATGTCAAGCCAAACCTTGTGTGTATTGTATGGATGGAGCAGTTTAAACTCGGAGGGGAAAAAAATAGAATTTAGGTCACTAGGAAGAAAAAGATCCAGACTTCAGAAGTTTTGGGGTGTCATTTTTTAGTTTTTCGAGACAGAGTTTCTTTATAGCTTTGGAGCTGTCCTGGAACTAGTTCTTGTAGACCAGGCTGATCTTAAACTCACAGAGAACTGCCTGCCTCTGCCTCCTGAGTTCTGTGATTAAAGGCGTGGGCCACCAACACCAAATTCCAGTCAGATCTTACAACCTAAGTAGGGATGTTCACCGACTGCTCTGAGAAGTTCAGTTTGAAAGTCAACCAGAGATTTAGGCCAAGTTTAGATCCAGATCATCTTTCTGTAAATAATGGAATGTGTGCTGGTCAGTTTTACGTCAACTTGACACAAGCCAGAGTAATTGGAGAGGAGGGAACCCAAATGAGAAGATTCCTCCATGACGTCAGGCTGTAGGCAAATCTTAGGGCATTTTCTTAATGAGTGATTGATGGTAGAGGGCTCAGCCCATTTTGGGTGGTGCCATCCTTTGGTTGGTGGTCCTGGGTTCTATTAGAAAGCAGACTGAACAAGCCTGGAGGAGCAAGCCAGTAAGCAGCCCTCCTCGATGGCTTCCGCATCAGCTCCTGCCCTGTCTGAGTTCCTGTCTTGACTTCCTTCAGTCACGATCAGTGATGTGGACGCATATTATTCCTCAAGCTCCTTACGGTCATTACAGCAACAGAAACCCTGACCGGGACAGAATGGGGCTGGGATGAAGCTTAGTGGCACAGTATTTGCCTAGGACACGTAAGGTCCTCGATTCAGTCCTCACTATCCCCCTGCTAATGAAAAGAAAAGATACATGTGACATGGAGACCCTTGTGGGGAGAAAGGGAATCAATCAGAGAGGAAGCAAGAGGCACCAAGATGTCAGGTGGAAAGAGGAATAAATTGGAAGAAGTTATAATAAAGTGTGTGTGAGAAAAAGCCATCCAATTGTATGATAAATCTGAAAATAATTGGAAAAGAATCAGTCACGTTTCCCAATGTCTTTGTGTGCTTTTTTTGGGCATGTCACGGGTATTTCATGACTTAGGAAAGCTCTTACAGCAGTTCCTTGGGTTGTCTCAAATGATAAGTGGCTTTGGTCTTTCTTGTTGTTTTAAATGCAGGTCCAAAGCCCAGAATGACTCTTCCCAAAAAGTGAAACCTGGGGCTACTCTGGTAGAGACCATTCAGAGCAACATGGTGAGTTCTACCTGACCACACTTGGACTTTTCTCGAGCCTTTCTGCTACCTGGGACGTCTCTCTCACACCCCTCCTCCTTTTAAAAATTCCTAGAGATAGAAAGTGAGTTTCTGTTGCCTGGCACTCCACCATGGCATCATGGCATGGGAAAAGGTGGAGCCAGAAAACAAAGATGGCCGACCTAACTGTGAAGTCTCTCCTTGTAGCATCCCCCTCCCACTCCCACTCATGCGCCACTTTTCTTTGAGATTCTGGCCACACATAGTTACCATGTTCGTTACTTTCCACAGGAGAAGAACATCATTAAGAAGCAGAAGAGGAAGTTTTTGGTTAGGTAAGTGGCAGAATTGTGCCCCTGACCTAGTTGGTCCAGGCCACATTTGCTGTGCAGTTGACTTGATACAGGCCAGAAGAATGAGTGTTGGCATCAGACAGAGAGTTATGCGGTCCCAGAGTTCCCTGAGCAGAGTTTCTATCTACAGAGTTAGGACAGAAGAATTACATGGCTCTAAATAGCTGGAGGAATTAGTGGCTCCTTCCGAGAAACTCGGGATGAAAGCTGTAGGTTACATTTCATTTCCATTCCTCTGTGTCCCCACAGTGTGCTCCCTTTTGGCTTTTCAGATGCTGGCATTCCAAACCTTTGCTACCTTCTTGAAAAAGGAGGACAGGGTGCATGAACTTTCATTGCTGTTTTACTGTGGGCTGAGAAATTATAGGGGGAAAATCACTTGCATTCTGTCTTTTCTTTTCTCAACTTTTTGAAATCAGGAGAGTTAGCTTCAGTTTTCTAGAATTACTTGCTATAGGAGACATAAAGAACACCATGGCCACGAGGCTCACAAACTTAAACTTTTACAGTTAACCTCCAAAAGGCCTGCCCCATGTAGAGTCCCAGAAGGTCATCTGTTCCTTTGGAAATGTTCAATACTTGACCACTAAATTGCAGGTTTTCTGTTATCTGCATTCACCATCTCTACCCGCTACCCCCCAAGTACCCCTGACAGCTTTGCCAAAAGGAAGCAACCCACCATCTGTTTACAAGTTCATTCCCCATTGCCTGATGGTAAGTTGTTCTGTTCCCGGATGTTCATGATGAGTTTCTCTCTGCAGGCACTTCCACTACCTCTTCTTCATGATCGTGGTCTTCCTTCGGCTACTGGGTTGCGTGATCTTCCACCTGCATTATATAAACCCGGACTTCCTCGTGGACACTCTGCCCATGCTGATGAGCAGAAGCACGCTGAAGTGGCTGAGGGACATACTGTTACCCTTCCTTACACTAGAGGTGGAAGACGTTCTACCACACTAGTGGCAGGCGACCCGCCAGGCCTCCCATTGTACCCACAATGGAGGGGCTGTGGTTATGGCCCTGAGTTGGTGGTGTGGGGCAGGAAGGAAATGGTGGTGACTCAGGGCCTCTATGTGACAGCTGAGTTTTATATGTAACTCTCTCCTAGCGTGTCTCTCTGCGAATACAGAATGCGTTTGATCAGAGTTCACTGTGTTGGTCTGTGCATCCTGAGGCCTTTCTATGTAGTCACAAATTCTCTGTTCTCTTCAGACAAAACAAAAATGAAAACTCCTCTGGGACCTCCACTTTCTGTTTCATTTTATTAAACAAAAAATAAAATCACATGTTAATTTTCTAGAGTCTCAGTCCTTTAGGGAGGCATGCAAGAGGGCGTCCATGGAGCTAGACTTCGTGGATGACTTTAAGTCTTACATTAACCAACACTCTCTCCCTATGGCTCTTTGTGCTTTGTGCTATTTTTAAAAAGTGGGGTTATAACAGATACAACCTTTTTCCTAATGAGGTAATTACTCATTCTTAAATAATTCAAAAAAGCAAATTCAAGTGTTAATAGAAGCAAAATTTATAAAACTCTTGTAAATACAACCAAATAAAGATGTGTACTTTAAGATACAGCTAAGCAAATATTTTTTATTATAAAATCCTACCCTCTAATTCCTTCTAACTGGAGACGGCCATTCCCACCTTCTACCAAAACCTCCTAGACCCTTCTCTGGGTTTCGTGTAGTCCCCCTGTCTTATATCCTCTGTTGTCGTTCCTAAGTGCTCGGACCTTGAGACAGGTGTCATCTTTATTTCCGACCAGACATCACACAGCTGCTTACCAAAGTGACATTACAAAGCGGGACTTAGGAAGAGGACGAGTGACCCCTTTCCCAGCACACCTAGGGGCGACAACTAAGCTCCCACAGCACAGGAGCCTCTTTTTGGCGCTATCTTTTGGCGCATTCCACATACTCTTGCTTCCTGGGGCGGGAGTTTCTCATTTAGGGCTCATTCTTGATATTTTAACGGTTTTGTTCAACCACATTGAGGTAAAGGCATAACATTGCTTTTTTTGTTTGTTTGTTTGTTTTTGTTTTGGCTGCAGACATGATCCTATCTCAGGTTTCCTTTCTGGGGCCTAAAAAAGTGTGAATAGCCTCTGGATTTTGACTATGGCACGCACAAACTTTAAAACAAAACAAAAACTGACCAGCAGCGCCCTCTTGTGGCCAAATGAAATGAAAGCGCTGTGCCACTTCAGCGGGCTTGATCCAACTAGCAAGTTGAAGAAGGGAAGATCAATTAGATGTCGTTCCTGGATGATTCTTTCTCTGCTTTCTAATAATTCAAATTATTCATTATCCATGAATTCAGTCAATAACTTGAAAAAAATTATCGAACAACATTCTTGGGCTATCCACTATTCTAAAAATTTTAATTAGGGTAGAAGAAAAGAGACCAAATTCTTCCCAAATCATAGCTGGTAAGCAGACAATTGGATATACAAAGATCAGAAGCTGCTATGAGATAGAGCCAAGTTAGGTAGCTGGGGTAGGGGTGCTGGGCAGGAGCATTCGCTGACAAGGTGGTATTATAAGAGAGAATTGGGTGAGGTGAAGGAACTGTCTAGATACCAAGGGGAGCTGTACCTAGAGATTCAGAAGGTCTTCTGAATTAAGACAAGTCTATTGTGGGAACCCTGAGTTTCTTCTGGTTCCTTCCAGGACAGGGCCCAGGCCTGAGACCTTCTATGCTGGGTTGGCAGTTGTGTGTCAGCTTGACCCATGAGCTAGAGTCATTGGCAAGAAAGTAGTCATAATTGAGAAAATTCCTTATGAGACTGGGCTGTAGGAAAGCCTGTCGGGCATTTCCTTAATTAGTGATTGATGTGGGAGGGCCCAAGCCATTGTGGGTGGTGCCATCCCTGGGCTAGTGATCCTGAGTTCTATAAGTGAGCAGACTGAGCAGCCCATGGGAAGAAAGTCAGCGGGCAGCACTCTTCCATGGCCTCTGCATCAGCTCCTGCCTCCGGGCTCCTGCCTCCGGGTTCCTGCCTCCGGGTTCCTGCCTCCGGGTTCCTGCCTCCGGGTTCCTGCCCTCCTTGAGTTCCTGCCCTCACTGCTTCTGCTGATGAACTGTTACATGGAAGTGTGAGTGAAATAAACCCTTTCCTCCCCGTGTTGTTCTTCGTCATGGTGTTCCTGCGCAACAGTTGTCTGTCCTGAGAAAGTTCTTAGTGTGACCTGCTCTGTCAGTATTTTGTATATGCTAACTAGCTTTTATTTGCATGCTTTCTCGATAATAATTTTCTAAATGCAAACGATCTTCCTTGGATCATGGCTTTCTTTGTTACATTCGTGTGTAAAAGCCCACTGAAACTGAAGTAAGGCTGTCTACAGCAGTAGCCCGCAGTCTGCCCATTCTTTCAGGCCCTCAAATCCCAGGTCTTACAGATCTGCACAGGTCTGTGAAAGGTCATATGGGTGGGTAGCATTGATAGAAACAATGCTCAGAATAACCGGGATTCAAGTGAGGTCTGGCTCCACAGAAGAGTAAAGATTACCTCGTTACTAACATCCATTCCCAGACTTCTTGGTAGAAAGAAGATGCACACCCCTTCTGCTGAATGGACAAGCCTTTGTGCTTACCATTCCTTGTAGCCGCAGGGAGATTGGTAAAGAAAAGTCCCCAGACTATTTTGATACAAAATATGCAGCTTTAATAAACAGAAGTAAGACTTACAACAGCTTACACCAGAATCCAAATGATCCGTCTGGACACAGGAGCCAGGCGAAAAAGAGAGCTAGCAGAGCGCACTTGCTAGGTTTATAGGCAGGCTTTTGCCTGAGGGTGGCACGCCCCAAAAACAGAATATGATTGGCTGAACTCCCCTATCAATTCCTGGTTTCCCCAATGCTTGTCTGTGAGCGTGTAGTCCTCTACACATGTCTCCACCCTTACCCTTCCCACATGAACTGCAGAGTTATCCTTAGGTTCTGAACTTGCTGGTTCCTTGATTTGGATTACCCAGACTCTGAAAACTGTTGTCTGCTAGTTCTAACCTACTAGGCCTGTGGAATACCGGGCTTTTTCTTTGGGGCCACCAACCAGCTCCCAAATCAAGACCTGGAGACTTCTCGTTAGTTATGAATGCTAGGCCTTTCTTATGCTTGTCCTTCCAGCTCTTACACCTTAACCTGTTTCTCTTCATCTAGGTTTTGCCTCAGGGGGTTTTACTTTTCTTTCCTTCTGTTTCTCTTACTTTGACTGCTTCTCATGTCTGGCTGACTGACAGCTGCCTGGCTTCTGGTCCCGGGGAATGTCTCCCACTTTCTCCCTTGTTCTCTCCTCCTTCTTCTCAAGCCTAGATTGTTCCTCATATTTATTCTCTCTGCCCACTAGCCCAGCCTATCCCTCTCCTGCCTAGCTATTGACTGTTCAGCTTTTTATTAGACCAATCAGGTGCCTTAGGCAGACAAAGTGAACCATCTTTTCACAATTGAACAGTTGCAGCATAAACAAATGTATCACATCTTTCCATCATTAACAAAGACAGCAGTAACAAACATAACACATCTTTGTCTAGCTAAAATAATATTCCACACCACTATGGTACTTTGCAATAGCAAGTCATAGGGATCTGGGGTCCTTTAAGAATAATAGTCACTGGTTTGAGATTGCTTTAGAGACCTAAATGGTACATTTGCAGGTTAATTTGCAGGAATATACAGTGCATTTTGTTCCTTAGATTCTTCTTGGATATAATTTTGTGCCTCCTGGGCCAAACATTTACATTCAGTTAGAAGGCATATTTTTTTCTTGTTGGATGTCAGAACGTAGTTATAGAACCCAGTTTGATGAAAGAATATGCTGAATGCTGTCCTCAGTGTACCTGAATCTGCACATGGCTTCTGCCTTCTGCCTTGCTTTCATCTTTCATGCTTTCCTGGATAGAATCTATAGTATGTGCTGGGCAATTGTGTTTAAATTGGTCTGTCCTGAGTAGGCTCTGGGAAAGGGCTGCTCTGTTAACATTCAGTATGTGCAGTATGTGTTCACTTCTGTTAGATGTGTGTGTGTGTGTGTGTGTGTGTGTGTGTGTAAATGTGATAGCAGAGTTTTGAAATGGCTGAGCCAGCTTGTTATCAAGTCTCTGCCTCCATGAAGGGTGAGGGTGAACTGCAAAGAGACAAATGCACTTGTGACCAAGGCGGATCATCTTAAATCACAGATATACGCCCAAGACTAAAATGGGGAGGCCTTGATATAGAGAACTAGACAATAGGAAAATCCCAAGATGACTCTAAAATCAAGGACTTAAACTACATTCTCTCTGATCAGACAGTTTCAAGATCTCTTGGGACCTTCTTTGACGTACAAACACACAAAAAATCCAACGTCTAGTTTTCGCCAATTGGATTTTTCTCCTATCTTGAAACGATGACAGCGGTCTTATATGATCTGCTCTTAAGTATGGGGCACGTCTCGTCTGTGCTTTTTTTCCTGCCCTTCACTCACTGATGTCAAAAGTTTCATGAGACTAAGGAGTCATTTCCAGTCAGAGAGAAAGAGTTTGGCTTATAATTGGATTTTCAATGAAGCCATTATTCTCTGTGTGCTCTGATGTTAATCTTAATTGAGGGGCTATTTTCTCAGGCTCTCTGGATGAGAACATCCGTTCTTAGGGTTCTGGGAAATGTTTCTGTAACCCAGTTGGATTACCTTGCCTCCAGTCCTTACTCCAAATACATACTAGGTGTCTAAGATGCAGTTTGTTCTCTAATTACGGATCCATAGTTACTTGGAATCTGGTTGTTGTATTTGTTTTTCTTTTTCCTAAAATTGAAAGAAATTTAAAAATATTAAGCTCACCACTAAACTTACAAAAAAAAAAAAAGTTTCAAGTGTGGCCACACAAATAAACCAAACTAGCACAAGTGACCTCTTCAACCTAAAAGTGTCATGAGTCACCCCACCGCCACCACCAAGGGACTTTATTGTGCATTAAGGGACTTTATTCGTACATTATGCTCCATATTCAGGATCTTCTTTGTGAAGGTTTGGGGAAGCCAGCTGAGAGTTCACCTGGAAGGTCAGTAGAATGGGAAAACCCCTGGGCGTCCAATAGAAGGCTGCATCCTCCAGATCTCACTCCCTGCAGAGCCTAGGTTTCTGAGTGCTGAAAGACCAGAGTCTTTCATGGTGTAGGACCATGGTCTGTATTCTGTCAATTATATTTTTAAACAAACGCTGATTGGCCAGTAGCCAGGCAGGAAGTGCAGGTGGGACAACCAGGCAGGAAGTAGAGGCAGGTCAAGGAGAACAGGAGAATTCTGGGAAGGAGGAAGCTCATTCCGCTGCAGTCCTGTCCAGCCACAGAAGAAGCAAGATGTGATTGCCCCGCTGAAAAATGTACTGAGCGATGTGGCTAACATATAGAATAATGGGCTAATATAAGTTATAAGAATTGTTAAGAAGCCTGAGCTAATGGGCCAATCAGTTTATAACTAATGTAGACCTCTGTGTGATTTCTTTGGGACTCAACAATTGTGAAAACC